GCTTGTTTTGTTTCTTAAATTAAAGACATTTCACTCCACGTGGGCTCGACATCTTGCCAGGCTGCTCCCGAGAGCATGGAGGCCGCCCCTCCCTGATGACCCATGCTGGTCAATACCTGCCAAGCCACGGCAGGGCGAGGCTTCCGATGCAGTTCTGACGCTAATTCAGTCCCCACACACACGGATGAAGGGCCTGTGTGCAGATCCCTGCTTCATGGGGGTGCCTCAGGAAAGGCTGACTGTACCCACTCCAGGCTGATGTGACCGAGGCCCGCCCCTAGTCCTGAGGGTGGCCAGGATGGCGCTGGACAGCGGCCAGCGGGGCTGGCCAAATCATGACGTGGACGGCTTCCTTGGCCCCTCTCTGGGCAGCCCCAGGCCCCTCCTCTGGCCCTGCTCTGCTAAGAGCCTGGATTCTGGGACATCCTTCTCACTCCCTTTCCCCACCAAAATTCACTTCAGGGCACCAGTGCTGGGTCCGAGGGATGTTAGCGTCGTCCCCAGCCACAAGCAGCATTCACCAAGCCCTTCGTGTTCTTGGCGCATTCACGAACAGGCTCGTGTGTACCTTTACGTGACACTCGAGGAGCCGTACAAATCATCCCCATTTTATAGATGGAAGAACTGAGGCTCAGGTGAAACCACTTCCCCACAGGGACCGCTAGGTGGCACCAGCGTGCACAGAAAGCGGGGTCTGAAGTCAGCAAGATCAGAGTTCAAATCTAGTCTCAGACGGTTACTTAGCTCGGCGACACAGACCAAGTTGTTTGACCTGTCTGCTTCCGTTTTCTCAACTGTAAAATGGAAGTAATATTAGCACCTCCCTCCCAAGGCTGTTGTGAGAACCAAATGAGATCATCATAAAGCACTCAGCATAGTACTAGGCACGGAACAGTCACCTAATAAATGCGTGTCCCCACCCTTATGGTCACATAGCTCACACGTATCCAAGGCGGGATCCGAACCCACGTCTTTGTGACTCCAAGTCCAAAGGCATCTATTCTACTCCACGGGCCATCTGGTCCGGCCTCATTTTACAGGTGGGGAAACTGAGGCTCCCAAGGGGTGACTCCCCTTCTGTCCCCTCCCCCAAGACATGAAGGGGACAGCAAAGCTTAAATGTCACTGAACGGCCCCTATCTCCCAGGGCCCAGCATCTTGTTTTTGTCCCTGACCAGTGACTGCCCTGGCAGAGGGAACTCCCGGGTGAGGGAATGCCCTCTACTGATGTCACTCTGTACCTCTTGGCAACTGGGAGCCTTAGGAAGTTGCTGGGGCCAGTGACTTGCCCAGGGACATGCAGAGAGGAGGTATCAGAGGCTGCGTTTGAAGGCAGGCAGGGCTTTCTGGCTCATAGGTGGCTCTCCACCCACTGTACCACACTGCCTCCCCAGAATCAGGCTTAAAGTCAGTTCTTTGTCCCTGTCCTGACTCTCCCTGAAACACACCCATTTATTGCATTGAAAGGACTGTTGGTTAAAAGGGCAAACCACAGTCTGAGGAGGGGTTCTTAACCTTTTTGAGGGCCTACCCCTGTAGGCAGGTGAGCTTGTGGTATGGATGCCTTCTCCAAATCACATTTTTAAATGTCTGATAGAAATGCTCAAATGAGCTCAAGGTAACAGAAAATAAAGTCAGTGTTTCCCCTCCCCCCCCCCAAGGTCATGGCTGCCTGAGATCTACCCTGGCCCCAGCGGAAGGGCCCCTGCTGGGGTGGGGGCACCACTGTGGGCCTAGGGGAGGATGAGGGGATGCAGCTGCACCTCCCCAGGAGCGGGCAGCAGGTGAGTGCAGGCATGAACGCCAAGGGAGAGTCAGAAGGAAGAGGACCAGAGGAGCCAGGCATCAAGGAGAGTTCCTTCGCCCCCTTGGCTCACCCACCAGTGGCACCCAAGGCCACACAGGTCCAGAGCAGAAGGGGCAGGATTTGAATCCAGGTCCTTTGGCTACGTGGTTAGTCACTGGGCCAACAAGTGTCTCTCTGTGAGGCCAGACAGAGAAGCAGAAAGAGTGATGGTGAAGAGAAAAAGTATAGGAGCTGGTAGCAGGCACTCCATGGAAACCTCTGGCTCAGGTAAAGAGGTGGAGTCACCAGTGCCCAAAAAGAACAGGAAGAGGGGAGGGGGAGGGGAGAAGGAAAAAGTGGAAGGGAGGAAGAAAGGAAGAAGTGAAAAGGAGAGGAAAAAAGAGGAGGAGGAGGGGAGGCAGAGGAGGAGAAGGGAGGAGGAGGAAGACGGCAGGAGGGGGATGGAGGAGGAAGGGAGGAAGAGGAAGGAGAGAAGGAAGGGGAGGAAGGGGAGGAAGGGAGGAAGGGAGGAAGGAGGAAGGGAGGAAGGGGAGGAAGGAGGAAGGGGAGGAAGGGGAGGAAGGGGAGGAAGGAAGGAAGGGGAGGAAGGGAAGGAAGGGAAGGAAGAGGAGGAAGGGGAGGAAGGGAGGAAGAAGGGAGGGGAGGATGGAAGAAAGAAAGAAAGTGGAAAGGGGAGAAAAAGAGGAGGGGGAGCAGAAGGAAGGAGGAGGAAGATGGGGAGGGGACGGGGGAGGAAGGGAGGAAGGAGGAAGGGGAGGAAGGGAGGAAGGGAGAAGGGGAGGAAGGGGAGGAAGGAGGAAGGGGAGGAAGGGGAGGAAAGGAAGGGAGAAGGAGAGAAGGGGAGGAGGAAGAAAGAAAGTAGAAAAGGGAGAAAAAGAGGAGGAGGAGGGGAGTGAGGAAAAGGGAGGAGGAAGAGATAAGAAGCAAGGTGTGAGGGAGGGGTAAGGGAAGAGGGGAGGAGGAGGATAGAGGAGGAGGGGGATGGAGGGGAGGAGGATAGAGAGAGAGGAGGAGGGAGAGAGGAGGAGGAGGGATGGAGAGAAAGGGGGATGAGGAGGAGGAGGGGATGGAGAGGAAGGAGGGGATGGAGGAGGAGGGGAGGATGGAGGAGGAGGAGAGGGGATGGAGGAGGAGAAGGGGAGGGGGATGGAGGAGGGGGATGGAGGAGGAGGAGGATGGAGGAGGAGAGGATGGAGGAGGAGGAGGAGGAGGGGGATGGAGGAGGAGGAGGATGGAGGAGGAGGAGGATGGAGGAGGAGGAGGATGGAGGAGGAGGGGGAAGAGAGAAAAGGCAAGTGGGGGGGAAGGGAGGAGGAGAGAAGGAAGAAGGGAGAAGAAGACTGCTCAGGTAACCCTCTGGGGACACCCTCAGAAAGCATCCTGAAGAGCTTCCACCCACCAGGTTCTCCTCCCCTGCCCACTGGAAACACAGGCAGCTGACTAGGGCAAGGACACCAGCTTTATACAAACTAGCTGGTCCCAGCCTCTTGAAAGGCTGGCAGATCAGAAAAGAGATAGCAGTGGGCCCCCACAGAGCCGCATAAAAGCCCTGCCTCCCCTGCTTACTAGCAGCTGTGTCACCTTGGCCAAGGGCCTGCCCCCTCTGGGCTTCCTCAGTGTCCTTCAGTATAAGGTAAGGGTGCTGGCCAACGTGGCCTGTGAGGTCCTTCCCAGCTCCAAGGACGCTCACCTAGCAGGGAAATGAAACCCCAGAGACCCGGGAGTCTGACCCCTCAGGGCTCTTTGGAAAATGGGCCTTCCTTCCCAAGGTGCCTGCTCCCCACACACACACACTCCAAACTTAGACCACTGCCCCCACCCCCACCCCACCCCTCCCCCAATGCTCTTCCTAGAAGAGACTTTGAAGCTTCGCTTTTTGCAGCCATGAAACACTTTGTTCCCTTTGAAGGAGAGGACAGGCCAGACCCACGATCTATTTCCTGAGGTCCTGAGGGGTTTACAGCAGGGCAGTGAGGAAGCCAGCCGGCTCCCTCCTGGCCTGCTCCCAGCCCCCGCCCCTGGCCCAGCGGTGACCCCTGGCACCTGCATTCCCAAGGATCAGAGAGGCAGAGGTGGAAGGGACCCAGCGTCCCCTAAATCCCATCTCCTCACTTTAACAGCTGAGGAAAATGAGTCTCAGGGACTTGCCCAAGGTCACCCAGGCATTTGGCGGCATTTGAACCCAGGTCCTCTCCTCTGCACCGGGCCATGGCACCTCCCTAAGGCTTAGAATGCTCCCTCTCTGTGTCCCGGGACCATGTGCAGCAGCCTGCTCCCCCTCCTCAACACTAGCCAGCCAGAGATGCTCAGCCCTCCTACTGTCCTCCAGCCTCAGCTGACGGGACCTTACCAGGAGCAAGGACAGCGCCCTCTTCTCCCTCTCTCTGGGCCCCGCTCAGGTCAGGGGGCAGAGCCTCAGTGTCCCTGTCCCTAGAGCCAAGCAGGACTCAGGAGCAGAGAAGGGAAGGAAATAAACATTTATTAAGCACCTACTACGGGCCAGCCGCTGCGCTACGAGATTCACAAACAGCACATTTGCTCCTCACTAGAAGCAGGAGAGAGGGAGGGAGGGAGGGGAGAAGAAAGAGAGAAGAAGAAAGGAGAGAAACGGAGGAGAGGGGAGGGGGGAGATGAGAAAAGAGGAAGAAAACGAGAGCGGAGCAAAGAAGGGCAAGGACCATGAAGAAGAAGGGAAGGGAAGAAAGGAGGGAAGAAGGGGAGAAAGGGGAGGAGGAGAGGAAGAGGAGGAGCCGCAGACACGCACTCCCTCCTTTCTTGGCTCGCTCACAGACTCACCCCTTTGGGGGCCTCCCGCAGGGGTCCAAGTTCAAGTCCAAGTGGGGCCGGCACGAGGGGAACTCTAGTGGGGGGCACCGTGCTCCCAGGACAGAGGGGCTCCCTGGGGGGCAGCCTCAGTGGGTGACCTCCTCCTCGCCCAGCATTGGCCCGCTGCGCAGGCAGGCGGTCAGGGGGCCAGAGGGCTGGAGCCAGGAACACGCCGCTCCCCGCCCCCTCCCACAGAGGCTGAGGTCTGGGCTGGCTCAGAGAGGGCAGGCATGCAGCCCGTAGTCCGAGTGAGCAGCCCAACGCACCCCGGAGCGACGCAGCGCGGCAAGCGTCAGGGCATCCGCCGCGGGCAGCTGCCTTCCCCAATCCCCCCGGGACCCTCGTCCTCAGACCTGGCAGCCCCTACCTGCCGAGCACCGCCACTCCTCTCCTCTCCTGGGCTGACCCCAAATGGGTCTCCCAGCCACTGCAGTCCCCTGCTGCACAGACAGCTAGCTGCCAGAGCACCCCTTTCTCTCGGGTAGGGATCACTTCCCCAGCCCGCCCACATGCACTCAAACCCCTGCCCCGAACCAATGAGCAGTACTGCTCCTTTCATCCTCGGCTCGTCTGTCCGCAGCAGCCAGCATGCGGTAGGTACTCCACAGAGGCGTTCTGATTGGCTTCCAGAGCCTTCCCCGCAGGCGACCCAGCCGAGGGGTTTATATTTGATCCTTAGAGGTCACAGAGCAGTGTCTAATTTTATCTGGTACCAAAGCGTGCCTCACTGAGATCGGTCATACTAGAACCCTGCCGGGGGGGAAGCCTGCTGGCTCACTGCATTACCACAGGGAGCGAAGAGAGGATGGTTAGACCGGCGACCACAGCTGAGTCAACTCCACCGGGGAGCTCCAGCTTCCTTCCGCCCTGACCCGTCCCCAGGAAGAGATGGGGGCCTCCCGGACCACAGGCAGCAGGAACGTGAGTACCGAGGCCAGGGAGATCCTATTGGTGGAGCGCAGTGTCCGCCATCTAGTAGGTGCTCAATAAATGCTGGTTCCCTGCCCTTGCCCTACCAGCCCACACAAGGGGAGCTCCGTGTGTGCCACCCAGGCTCCAGAGCGCCTCTCCATTCATGTCCAAAGATGAAATCAGCCCCAAGCCACCCCCCCATCCCACCCCCTATACACGCATACATCCAGTGACAAGCCCTCAGATCAAACAGCAGATCCGGGAAGTGGGGGGACGGTGCTTGGAATCACCTCCTCAGGTAAGTCAACAAGACGAGTTTTCCAGACTCTGAATTTCAAAATCACTTCCTCCCAATTCATCCACTCAGAGGATTCTAAACACACCCACAAAGAAGGAAGTGGAAGAAGGAAAAACTGCAAGAAACAAAAACGCCCAACCCCACACTGACCCAGGGGCTAATTTCCTGGAAATCACCAAAGTTAAAAACAGAGAAATATTTTAAAAGAGGAAGCAGGAAAAAAGTCTTTAAAGGAATCTCTGGTCAAATAACCAAGATTTATGTAATCCGTTTCCGTGGAGGATCCTAATCAGCATCTATTAAAGAATGAGGGCGACACCACCCCACCCGCCCACACCAGGGCTATCTGGTTAAGCAGCAGACTGGAATACTCCCAGCTGACCGCCCGGCTTCCCATGAAGCCGAATCAGGAAAAACCATTTTTTAGGAAGCGAGACATCTCTATTCCTGACATCCAAAAGGCAGCCTAGGTTAGTGTGGAGTTACTCCAGTCTAGGAAGCTGCCCTCTGTCCCTGTGCCCTGAACGGTCACTCATGAAGGTCCCTGAGAAAGTAAGAGGACACAGAAATGTGCTGGAAGGCCCGGGGCGCCAGGCCCATGGGCCTTCCTTCACCGCCCTGTTCAAATGCCACTTCCACCAGGGATTGGCGCGCTTCTCGAAGCTCCCTCAACTTCTCCTATGCCTGGCCTGCCTGCTGTGCCCCAGGCACTCTTCTGCCCCCTCAGACCGGGAGCTCCCCGAAAATGGAGCCTGGCTTGTGGTTGCAAACCCCTGTGTCCCCTGCCCCAGCACCTCGTCCATCCTGACACCCAGCTGGAGGAAGGCAGAGCTGGGAGGGGGCTCAGAGGCTTTCCAGTCCCCCCCCATACCTGCCCAAGGCTGCCAACCTCTGCTGGACATCTCGCCCCCCCCCTCCCAAACAGCCCCCTCCACTCTGGGACAAGCCCTGTGGTCAGCAAGTACTTCCTGGGATGGAGTCTCTGGGCCTCCTCCCCAGGATTCTGCCCTTGGGGACAAAGCCTGAGAAGCAGAACCCTCCTCCCCTCCCAGGTCAACCCTGCAAATACCTGAAGCCAGCCACCATGGCCCCTGAGTCTTCTCCCAGCTTTTAACCCAATCCTCACTGGGCCAGGACTCCAGGCCCTCCTGGGGACACTCTCTAGTCCTCCTCACACTGTGATGCCCAGGGCTGGACACACTCCTGCTGGTGAGGTCTGCCCAGGACACTGCCCTCTCCTCCTCATGCAGCCTAAGCTGAGATGGGCTTTATTGGCTGCCCCACCACACAGCTGGCTCGCATTGAGCCCACTTTGAGCTTGGATTCCACGGAGACCCTCTGGCCCTTTTCTTAAACAGCTGCAATCTCAACCCTGGAGAGTCAGCCATTTAAATTCTGTGCCATCCTCTGCCCTCTTAACCTATTGCTGCTCTTCCCTCTCCAAAGCTCAGCCCGGATTGCTTCTGGCACCTGCCTCCTCCCACTCGGGAGCCACTGAATTCAGGCTCCCAGGTGATGACTGTGCACATTGCACTCCCCTTCTCTCACCTCAGCTAGGCCCTCACTGCAGCAAGGCAGGCTTTTGTCTGTTTTCAACATTCACCTTTAAAAGATTTTGAGTTCTAAATGTGCCCCCTCCCTCCCTCTCCTGTCCCCAAGACGACCTGCAATCTCTCTCTGCCTCTCTCCCCCTACAAATCTTCACCCTTTGCCTAACATTGGCTCCTCCCCTCCAACCTTCAAACAAGTCCAATTCTCTCTGAGAAGTTAAGCCTGCCCTAACTTTCACAGTGTCCTTCCCTCCCACTCCTCAGGTCCCAGCAATCTGACTTATGACCCCCACCACTCGCTGAATCCCCCGTGACTTCTCCATCATCAGACCGGCAAGTCTTTTCTCTGCATCTCTGCTGGACACCATACTGCCGCCCAGCTTTGCTTCCTAGAGACCATCTCTACTCTGGGTTTGTGGGACCGTCCTCCCTCCCGGTTCTCCTCCCCCCCTGGCTGAGCGCTCCCTCTCGGGCTCCTCTCCCAAGCCTGAATGGTAACTATGGGTGTTCCCTAGGGCTCTGACCTAGGCCCTCTCCTCTCCTTCTACACTGTCTCTTGACAGCATCTTCAGCTCTCAAGGTTTAACCACCATCTCCATGCAGATGACTCCCAGACTCCGGCCTGAGCTTCCTCCATCATCCATGGCCTACTGGTCACTGGTTCCAGAATCACCTCCAATCAACGTGTTCCCAACAGGACTTCCTGATCCTGCCACAGCAGCATCATTCTTCTGACCACCCAGGGTCAGTCTGAACTCCCCACTCTCCTTCAGCCCACATGTCCACTCGTGCTCCCGCCCCTTGCCATTTCTACCTCCATACCTTCTCTGGGGGTGACACCTTCTCTCCACCCATCCACTCCACTGAGCCCAGCCCTCATCACCTCTAGCCTACATCACTGCCACAGCCTCCCCCTGCATCTCCCTGCCTCCAGTGGGCCTCCACACTGCTGCCGGTGCTGCGACTTAGAGCTGATCTGACCACGTCACTCCCCTACCTGGCCCCAACCTACCCTTCCAGCTTCCCTCTCGGTGATCCCCACACATCTTCTCTCCTTCCCCCCCATCCCATCTGTGCATTTGCCCTGCCATCCTATGTGCTGGAGTGCACCTGCCCTCCCCTCTGCCTCAGGGCCTCTCTCATCCTCCAAGATGCAGCTCGAACACCACCTTCAGCAGGAAACTTGTCCTGGTGCCCTCCCTCTCAGACCACCTTGTGTTTATCTGCAGTGGACCTCCAACTTCTCCAGACTGGCCTAGTTCTGTTGAGGGCACCACCATGTTTCCAATGGCCCAGATTCACCACCGCAGTGTCAAACTCTACTCCCATGTCCCATCAATGGCCACATCTTAGAACCCTCTCTCCTGTCTGTCCTCTTTTGTCCCCTCCCATGGCCAGCCCCCTTGGTCAGCCTGCCCTGGACCGCTCCTAGAGCCCTCTGCTCAACTGGGCTGCCTGTCTCCCCACCAGGCAGGCTGCCAAGATTTTCCTTAAGCACAGGTGGGACCATGTCACCACTCTGCCCTCTCAATAAAGTGCAAAATGGCCCCAGCAACAAATAGAAACTTTTCTGGTTGGCACTTCAAACCCTTCACAACCTGGCCCTTCCTTGCCTTTCTGACCTACGTGGGCCTTGTTCCATCCACCTTCTCTAGGGTCCAGCCATGCTGACCTTCTTGCTGGTCCCCTCATGCACTAGACGCTCCATCTCTCATCTCCATGACTTTGCATTGGCTGTGCCTCATGCCTGGCATGCCCTCTCTCGTGACCTCAAGGATCACCTCCTGCATGAGACCTTCCCACGTGCCAGAAACATGAAATTACAGCACCCGAGAGTGGGAAGGGGCTGGGGTGGCCACCCAGGCCAGCCCCTGCCTGAAGGAATTCCCACTCTAGCACTGGATAAGGGCTAGTCCAGACTGGAAGGGGAAGTGGCCCACGCCCTCCACAGGCAGCCCAGGCCACTGGCCGGACCCTGACTCAGCATGGGGAAGGTTCTTCTTGACCGCAGACCTAACCCTTTGCAGCTTCTCCGCTTGCTCCTGGTTCTGCCCTGTGAGGACACCCAGGACAAAGTGAATCCTTGTTCCCCAGCCCCTCAGATGCAGACCCGGGCACCTCTGCTGCCAGAGGCTTCCCCTCACTCTGTCTAGGCTTTCTATGTGCCTTGTACATACCCACACACACACTTGTTCTCTCCCCTGCTAAGTTCTCTGAGGGCAGGGTCAGCCTTGTATCTCTGCCCCAAGTGCTTGGGACAGGGCCATGGACTGGGGGGGCCCCCTGACAGTACCTGCTACATTTTAGCCCACATGATCCCGGAGCCAGGGCCTGGAATTCACTCCCTTGCTGGGGCATCCAGGGGGCTGCCTCCTACAGGATGCCTTTCCTGATTTCAGGTTGTTAGCGTGCTTGTGTCAAGCAATCTGGCACATACTGACCTGTGCAAATGTGGCTACCACCCTCCCCCCAACAACCACCAGTAGAATATAATTGGCGGGGGGGGAGCTGCCTCTGCTTGGCCCTTGTATCCCGGGTGTATGCAGCAGGCACTCCCTAAGCTCTCTTGCTGCCTACCCACACCATTTGTGGACAGGCCGGAGGGATCCTGCAGCCTGGTCACTCAGGGCAGGAGTGTCACGGTGGCACTGGAGGGGAGAACAGGCTGGGGTAGAGATACCAGGCAGGGAAGAGAGAACCTGGGCCTGAACCAGGGTGGGGACGGCAGAGGGAAAGCTGTCTCCAGGCTTGACAATTAATTATATGATGGGAGGGAAAGCCAGAGTCGTGGTTTCTTTGAGAAGCTGGGAGGAGAGAGTCGGGAGGGACCTGGGACTCCATGAGGCAGCCACCCCCTCCCTTTAGAGATGAGGAAATGGAGGCCGGCTGCTTTGAGGTGTCTAAGCCAGGACTCGATTCCAAGACCAGCACTGCCTTGACCGACTCTGCCATCCTGTTTCTGCCATATACAAGGGCGCCAAGACATGCCCGCAGACTCCAGGGCATAAGAGGTCGTGTGATTGGGAATCAGCCGCGGCCGGGGAGAGCTGCCGACTGGGAGCCGCCCACCCTCCCTGACCTCCCCCAGAAGCCTCGGCCCTGAAAATCCTTCCAGGCTGGCACGTGGGCACCTGGGGGCTCCTGGGGGAAGCTGACCTCCTGCTTCCTCACCCAGCCCAGACTCCGGGGGACCTGTGAGCAGTCGGCAGGAAGGCCACCCTTGCTTCACTCACCCCACCATCTCTCGAGGGGACCCTATGATCCACAGGTGGGCTGGCCAAGGCCCCTGCCTCCTCTTCGCCAGTGCGATCTCAGCCGGAGTCAGGTCTCTGCGTCCCATGGCCCAGACTCCAGGGCTCTCGGGATGCCTCCTTCGGCTCCTCCCAGAAAGCTCTGGCCAAGGGAGACTGTGCTCAAAGGACCCATTTGTCCGGCACCTTCAAACAATGCTCTTCTGTGACATCAGACAGCTTGAAAACACAAGAAATGCCTTTCCCTTTCTGCTCCGGGGCCTCCTGGGGCTTCCTAGAAACCTCTCAGCCAGCCCAGTCCTGGCTGACAGACCCTCCCCCAGTGCCCCCAGCCAGGAGAGCCTTGGAGGTGACCCCCCTCCTCCTCCCCCACCCTAATTGGCAGAGTGTGGCCACAGGCCCAGGACAGTAGTTTGTCCCCATGCCCCCTGCCCGGGGCGCGGGCACGCACACACACACACACACACACACACACACACAACACACACACACACACACACACAGCTGGCACTGCTATTTTTAGATCTCTGGTCTCCAAAAGGCAGAGGTCCACCAAACCCTGGCTCCCCCTCCCTTTCCCTGTCCCTGCCTTCCCTCGTCCACCCTGGAGCAGGACGGGACAGCCTATGAAATGAAGGTCTGGAAAACTGACCGAGGCCCACTAGACCCCACTGCAGCCACAGCCGGACCACCCAAGCTCCATCTGTGGACAGGCCCTGCCCGTGGGAGCCACAGGTCAGTGGGAACCATGGTCTACCGAGCCCCTCCCGCATTCAGGACCCTGCTGGGCTCCCACCAGTGCCAGTGACATGGGCAGGACTCTCAGAACAAGAGAAACACCGAGGATCCGGAGAAGGGAGAAATTGCCTCCACGCAGGAGCACCAGGCTGCAGGGTGGCACCTGGCCCACACCATCCATCAACCACCTTCTCACTGCTGCCATCCACATGCCTCTGGGCCCCTCCCTCGTTCCCAGGAACAGGATTACTAACAACTGACACTGATGGGACCTTCAAAGGCTGCACAGGACAGCCCTGTGAAAGAGGAAGCCATGACTATCCCCATTTCACAGATGAGGAGACTGAGGCTCAGAGGGGCAAAGGGACCTATGCATTGGAGGACCAGGGTCAGCAGATCCCTCATGGAGGCAGCTTGGTGTAATGGAAAACGTGCTGGCTTTTGAGATTGGCTTTTCTGGCCTTGGGACCCTTTGCAGTTCTTAGCCTTTCTGAGGCTGCCACAGGGTGCCACAGTGCATAGAGCCCCAAGCCAGGAGTCAGGAAGACTCATTTTCCCCGAGTTCAAATCCAGCCTCAGACACTTACTAGCTGTGTGACCCTGGGCAAGTCACTTAACCTGTTTGCCTCAGTTTCTTCATCTGTCAAATGAGTTGGAGAAGGAAGTGGCAGACCGCTCCAGTATTTCTGCCAAGAAAACCCCAGACGGGTCACAAGGAGTCAGACACGACTGAACGAACAAAAGTAAGGTTACAAACATCATCTCATTTTATTCTTACATCAACCCTGTATGTGGGTGCTGTTATTATCTCCATTTTACAATTGAGGAAATTAAAGCAAACATTGGCTAAGTGACTTGCCCAGTGTCACAAGCTAGTCAAGTGTCTCAGGCAGGATTTGAACTGACTCCAAGCCCAGTGCTCCATACAATTGGACTCCCCAACTGAGAGTGCCCGCTCTCCCAAAGTGCTCAGTAGCTAACTAGCTTGTACCTATACTGGTATATAGTCACTTACTGTATATGATGCACTTACTTATACACGTCCTCATGGACACCCCACCAGGGCACATCATCCCTTCTCCATTGCGGGTCGGCATAAGAAATTAAATGGGCATTTTTGGGAAAGCTGCAGACAACACATGAAGGCCAGCAGATAACACAGAGAAAGTTTAGAAACTCCAAAATGCACAAAACATGTGCACAGTATTGTCTAATGTCAATATATTTTACCTCTCAATAGCACAATAATCCAGACTTCTTCTCTGGAAAGCCAAAACCTTGTACGTGGGTTTTCCAGATGGTGGGGTGCCGCACCCCAAGCCCCCTGCAAGTCAGGACAGTTTCATTTCTTGTATTTATGTCCTAAGCATAGGCCCAGCTCATGGCACATAGTAGGTGCTTAATAATTTGCTGATTGATTGGCCAATGCCTGCAAGTGGTTCCTGGGCCGGCCAGCCAGCCCACCACCTCCCACCTCCCCATTGTCCCCTGGATGCCCAACATGGGGATTCCTCAGAGAGCATGGTTTCAGACAGACAGTCAGACAGAGGCCCAGTGAGAGCGGTAGGGTCAGATAGAACTGCTGAGGCAGCAGGGAGCAGTCTGGGACACCTGGGAGTGCCGGGCAAGGTCCCTCGGCTGTCTTTCCTCCTCTTCTTCCTTGCCTTCTAGCCTGGCCCTAGAAGTCTCACTAGGCAGAGCTGAAGGGCCCCCCTGTATTTTCTGAGGTGCCTTCAGGATAACCTCATACTGCACAGAATTCACTCAGCCCACTTACTGAGCACCTACTAAGTACAAAGCAGCCTCTCCCAGAGATTCTAAGATCTAGGGTTCTGGGACCTGTTTTCCCTGGAGGAGAGCTGGAGGGCATTGGTTAAACACACATCCACCCCCTTGGTGCAGCTCAGAAGCCTTTATCCGTGCCCAGTCTCCCTGAAGCCCTCAATTTCGTCAGCAGATTTCAAAGTGATTAGAGAAAGGAAGGAAAATTTCATGGAAGTCAGCTCTATGGGGACATCGGGCTAGGAATGATGGGAAATTCTCCAGAATAAAATTCAAAGGACACAAGGAAACATCGGATGAGAAGGAAAAGGGAGAGTTCTCTGAAAAGACCCATCAGGAAGCACAAAACTCACAGATTGATGCCAATTGTTTGGAGACGGGCAGAGGAGGAGGGGCGGGAAACACGAGGCTGGGGCCAATCTGTGACAGGTCAACGAGGACGGGTCAGGAGCCGTAAGGCCAGGGGAGCTCAGGAAATGAGAAGGGGAAGGCTGTCCTGGCCCTTTTCTCTCCTCCCTCTGTACTCTCTCGGTGACACTCGGCTTCAACTCCTGGCTCTGTGCAGATGATTCCCTGGCCCACACATCCCGGTCAGTCTGCTGTAATGACCCCTATCAGCACTTCCCTGTTGGACATTTCCCACTCGACTTGTCCACAGCAGAACTCCTCATCTTCCACCCACCCCCACCAAAACCTCCTCTCTAAAATAGTGAGAGAAGATTTTTAAAGTGCTGGCATTCATTGTCCAGTCATACCGGACTCTTTGTGACCCCATGGACCACATCACGCCGAGA